GGCAGTGAGAAATTCAATAACACATCTGTTTCATACGCACTTCTATGTCAGACACCATTTTGGTAGACTGCTCTGCTGTTGCTATCTGTAGATAGTAGATTGGCGGGAAGGTTCAACCTTTACTACAACACCACCAACATCCATCTCAGACGTTACATATTAACACAAAAAATAGGAGGCATTATTTACGGAACGCCCCTAGTAATTACGCCGGTCACGGTAGCCGAGCGGTCTAAGACATGCACTGTTTTCGCTCGCTCGGAAGCCGGGATCGTGGGTTCGAATCCCACTCAGGGCATGGATGTTTAGTTTGTGTGTGTACGTTTTTCCGTGTTTGTGTAGAGGTAGAGGCCTTGCGACGAGCTGATCACCCGCCCAAGGAGTCCTACCATATGTCTAAGATCTAGTAAAACCGAAGTGAAACGGAGAGTTTCATGGAGGTAGGCCTAGGTCCACTGGGTCTGTAGTGCCAATGAAAAAAAAATAATAATTACAAGTCGACATGTAGCCACATCTTTCAACGAATTCATCCTACATCAATGGTAATTAGAATATTTAGGATTCTCTTCCATTCGCTATCCTGACTGATGATACCTTTACCTTTAATAATAGTAACATAGGCTTATAATTTTTCATCCGCAAGATCTTAGCCCAGAGTCTGGAACTTAACATTTAACATGGACGTTGCATCCCATCGCAAACTTAACGTAATGTCACGTGTCCAGAGTCCCGTGACAAATAATAGTGGATTCTTAGATTTGATCTTTGGGTTTATTGGACGTTAATAACACATTTACATTCGGTTACAATAATTCACACATTCAACTCCTTCTGGATACCGAATCCCTCACTGTTGACTGCGTCTTGCACCTCTGGTCTCCTGGAATTTGCTCTCACGTCTGCTCTGTGCCTTCAGTTCTGAACTCTGAACTGCTCTCCCTTTATTCCTGCCGGGCGGATGGGATAGGAATCACGTCCTTGAGGAGTTCAGTTTTGTCATGTCCTTTGTAACAGTCTGTTTAGAATGTCGTTACTATGGATATGTCTTAAATAGCTCCATAAAATTCCAGGGTAACGGTGTACGACTATTTCGCGTTGCCACGGGAACGAGCCCCACGAAGCTCCGCCCAGCAGATACGCAGGTTGTGGCTTTCAGGCCGCTCGTCACCGCTCGTCACTGTATGCGTTGTTGCGTGAACGTGTTTAATTGTAACCCCAGACACGGCTGCAGGACTGTGACTACCAAGCCGTTGTCTAGCAATGGACGTCCGCTCTGACTCAGATATTCCGGCATTTAGGTGTCAGGCCACATTAACGTAGGTTCAATGAAACTGAACCCAAATTTCATAATCTGTCGCCGAATTCTTATACTTGGGACAAATGTATACATGAACAGGAAGAAGAATAAACTACAAATACCTGCTAATTTAAGTTATCATCAGACATCGTAGGAACAAGCAGGTTATAAGCAGTTTGACTGATCATTCTATAGTATTGATATGCTACTTTTTGCTGTGCTGTCCAGGAATTTGGAATTAGAAAAATAAAACGCAAAAGGAACGAAACCTACTCCACAATGTTAAATAGTAAGACATTAAATACAGACTAAAAGAGAAGTTGTCAAGAGGACAGGATGTAAACCGAGCATTAAATGTGGCACATATAAAGGCAGGCTACATTCACAAACTACATTTTCCGTACGTGACTTAACGACGCATTTTAATAGAATTTGGAAAATGAACAATACTGCTTAATACACGTATAATCTCTGATAATGAATATGAAATTCACTCTCAAGAAAACTGATAGGCCTCATCCCAGAAGAGATTATTTTAGAAATAAAAACAGAAAAATGTGTAGTTAATTTTCCTACAGAGGAAATAGAAAAAAATTAAATATTTAAAGATCGATGAAGTGACTAAAATAGGTTATTTTGTGATCGGTTGACTAAGAGTCCGCTGGACTACTAAACAGTATTATGTACAAATTATGAAGCTCCTCATTATGCAATATTTTTCGGTCTTTTGAGTCTCTATATTAAATGCTTTAGCAGATTTTGATGAAACGCAATATACCGCGCATCTGTTACCTGGTCTTTAGGCTTACGAAGAGTAAGTTCTATTTACTAATCGTTTTGCTTCCCTTAATGATCCGAGTGAACCTTACGTTCATATTTCGAATCGACAGACAGACTTCTGCAAACTTTCTTTACGGCGGTTGTTATACAACCATTACCGATCCTAAATTCAATTTACTTTAATTGACTTGAAGGGTAATTTAACGGCCTGTATGGAGTTTTAAGTAAATATTTAACTTTTACTGATTTTGTATTAGTATTACAAACTTTATTCCTTTATTTTAAGGTCTTTTTTTTAAAGACAAGGGGCACGCGGTGGTGTAGTTGGTCGAGGCACTATGCTACAAGCCGAAAGGTCGCGGGTTCAAGTCCCAATGAGGTCATTGGATTTCTTTCAATTGACCTAATCTATCCGGCCGCGCTATGACCCTGGGGTCGACTCAGCCTCTAACAGAAATGAGAGCCAGAAATTAATTAAATAATTTTCCTGGGGAGTAAAGCGCGGCCGGCGCGTAAGGCTGACAACCTTACCGCCATCTTTGAGTCGATTGTCTAGATAATGTGGGACCCTCAACGTCTCATAACCCTATGGGCCTTCATGGCCTGCTATAGGGATAGCTTTACTTACTAACTTATTTTCAAGACTAAAAGATCTACATATTTAGGCTTATCTCCATAAATATCAACCTCAGATAAATATGTCTCGGGTATCGGGTATACAGGAATCCATAAATAAGATCTGTCGATCACAGTGACCGCACGGTCTAAGGCACGAACTGTCTTCGCCAGCTCAAACACTGGGATCGTGGGTTCGAATCCCACTTGATGCATGGATGTCTGTGTGCGTTTGTTCATCCTTTCTGCTATCCTGTGTATAGGCAGCGGGCTGATCTCCCGTCCAAGGGGTCGTACCTACTAAGTAAGTAAAAGTAAAACTATCCCTGTAACAGGCCATGAAGACCCATAGGATTGTGAGACCTCGAGGCTCCCACACTATCTAGACAATCGGCTCAAAAATGGCGGTAAGGTTGTCAGCCTTACGCGCCGGCCGCGCTTTACTCCCCAGGAGAATTATTTAATTAATTCCTGGTACTCATTTCTGTTAGAGGCTGTGTCGACCTCAAGGCCATAGTGCGGCCGGAAGGATTAGGTCAATTGAAAAAATCCAATGACCTCATTGGGACTTGAACCCGCGACCTTCCGGCTTGTAGCATAGTGCCTCAACCAACTACGCTACGGCGTGCCCCCGTCGTACCTCCTATGTATATGATTAAGAAACTGAAAATTTGCCAAGGTTCAACAAAAGGCTGTACAGCTATATAGGCTATATAGGAATAGATAGATAGATAGACAGATAGATAGATAGACAGACAGACAGACAGACAGACAGACAGGCAGATAGATAGATAGATAGATAGATAGATAGATAAAAATATGTTCTATGACTTCAACAATTATTTTCACTTATCATTTACGATTTCTATATAGTTCCCAATAAGCTTATAATAAAAGAACCTGTTACGCGTGTGCCATCAAAAAGTTGTCCGACGTTTTAATATCGCTCTCTCATTAGCTATAATTAGACGTAAGTAATAATCGAAACGCAAATTTTAAAGCTATAAGAAGGATGGATTTGTTCTTTCGCCTTGCTCATTAGATCTCGCGTATGGTGTGAAGTAGATACACCGGAAGACCCTTACCTGTAAGAGAGGCAGAGAGGCAGAAAGACAGAGAGAGAGAGAGACGAAGTAAGAGAGTAGGTTCTAGGGCAGGCATGTCAAACTCACCTTGTACAGAGGGCCACCTCAGCCCTATAAATAATAGTCCAGGGCCGCACTTCAAAATAGAAATATACATTAGATTTTGATACTCGTAGTTGATAATTTAATGTTTAAATATAACCTTTATACGTTCATCACAATGTAACATGAGCACCTGTCTCTGTGTGAAAATGAACTGAATGACAATGTACAAGAGACTACGGGATTAGTAGGAAGGTGTATCTTGTCTCAATGGTCATAAAACTGAAAGTTTGCTAGCAGCCCATTAGGCAATGGTTGGGGGTTGCAAGCTAGTTTTGAAGGTACAAATCCCTTGCACTTGTCTGTCAGTTGCCACCCTCCTTGCATTCTTACTACGCCTCCAAAAGGGATTCTTAAAAATACTTGGGGTGGTGAGGCTGTGCGGATTTTAGTGCAGTTTTTTTTTCTGTGGCACTACAGCCCCAATTTGGGCCTAGGCCTACCTCCATGAAACTCTCCGTTTCACTTCTGTTTACTAGATCTTACACATTCGGTAGGACTCCTTGGGCTAGTGATCAGCTTGTCTCAAGGCCTCTACCTGTAGACAAACACAGAAAAACGCCACAAACATCCATGCCCTGTGTGGGATTCGAACCCACGATCCCGGCTTCCGAGCGAGCGAAGACAGTGCATGCCTTAGACCGCTCGGCTACCGTGACCGGCATTTTAGTGCATTAACCTTCTGAAATACAATAGTTTGTCCTTCACGAACTTTACAAACCGTTAGTTGGACAAACCCTTCTGCAATTCTCAGAATCACTTTTCCTGCAGCCTGCTAATTTATGTCTGCGTGAGACTTCTTGTCTTCTGGTCTGTTGGAAAATTGTCTTTACAAAAAATATTTCTACTAAAACTTTAATATTAATTTTAATATCAATTAGCTCTAAAAGTTGAGGGGCCGCATGTTTGACACGGCTGTTCTAGGGCTACTATGACTGGGATGAGTGCTACAGCCAGCATTGCCATGGTGCAAATGCTGGTTGAACCAGAAATAGCTCGCTCACTTTCTTTCCTTATTCATTTCCCCGGCAGCATAATTTAGTCTTCCGCCGGGGGCTCTCAGAGGCTGATTTGGACACAGGTCCCATCCGTTTACCTTTCCTTCGCGCTTGTAGGTACTTCAACTGTAGATAGAGTGACAGCAAATAAAACGCGTTCCTTCAGTATCTATATTTAGTACCTAAATAATTTTATCTGTTTTAGAAATGTAAGTACGAACCGCCCGCAGATAATAAATATCCCAGTCTCTTACTAGGAAAGAATGGCGGGGAAAGTGCAAAATTATAAGGGCGAAATATGCGAAGTGTGTGTTTTGAGGGGGTAAGTGCGCTGAAGAGATCGGCGTTTCTGCAGTGGTGGCCCACTTCGACGCTGCAGTCGTGGGGAGACGGTGGAGCAGGAAGCATAGGCGCCGACAATCATCGATTCCCCTCCCGAACGTTTGCTTTTGCTTCTCGAACTCTCGACCTCGGTATAGGCTAAATACCAAAACAATTCTACTGAGTGATGAAATAATTGTCGTCATTTATGACATAAAACATTGGATATTCAGTGAACCAAGATGCCGTTAATTGCGATACCATCAAAGTGCTTGTCCCTACATTTTAATCGAGTTCGATTTTAATAAAACAACTTTCTTCAGCTGTAGAGGATGGCTGACAGCGAAGGAGGCTCGGAGCAAGATGATGTTTCATTTCTTCGAACAGTAAGTTGTAATGTCTGTTTAGCCTGTTTTGTTCAAGAGATACGCGAGTTCAATCGCATGCAGCTATGAACATCAGCACAACCAGAATGACTCAAGCCACATGTTTTTTTATTGCTAGTGGGGTGGGACTAAGTCCCTTGTACTGCGGCCACTTCTGGCCTATTATACGAGCCCCAGATGATAGGTGAGGGTGATTGTGGAGCAATTGGTGGAATGAAGATTGGCAGGGGAAACCGAAGTACTCGGAGAAAATCTTCTCCAGCGCCACTTTGTCCACCACAAATCCCACTTGACCAGACCCGGGATCGAACCCGGGCCGCCGCGGTGGGAAGCCAGGGACTAACCGCTTGAGCTATGGCGCGGCCCAAGCCACATGCTACTTCCACTTTGGTTAACTTGCGGTCAAATTTAAATGAAAGATAAGGCTGTCTTCGGCCCAGCATGAAATCATACGGTATTTTCTACCGGTACCAGCCGAGGCGCGGCACTGCCGGAGGCTGCAGAGGAACGCGATCTTAGGGCTGTACTTACACATGCATATTTAAAGGTTTAAATTTGCAGGAGAAATTTTACAAAGACGATGTATAACATTACCTATTTACAAGTCTTTTAACACAGCTCACATTCGAGCTGTAATTGCAAATAACAATGTCAAAAAATTTTTGCAACGAGATAATAAATAGACGTATTTTTAAATGTTTACATATCTTGTAATATATTCGATATAACTTGGGGTTTAAAAATCTGAAAGTCAACGTTTGAAGGTTCTTTTTACATCGACATTTAGCGAAGACAAAAATATATATTTACGCATTCATCGTCATGACTAGAACAAATGAAAGCCAAAAAAAAAAACCCCTCTTCTTAATAGTATATATTTACTAATTTCATCTGAGTAACATGCAGACATTTCCAGCTGTGTTTATGTACTTCGAAACTATGATGTTGGGATGCAAGATTTGAGGTTTTCACAGCTGTGACTATGAAGAATGCCGTCTTCTTCGATGTGGCGCCGTGTAGATAATGTATAAACCGACTTTTCTGAGGAACGTATTGCCTCCATTTTCATAGTAAGAGCAAGGAACCAGCGTGAGCAGTTGGCTGCAGACCCTGAAGATAGAGGAAATACGTTCCTCTGAAACGTCGGTTTATACATTATCTATACGGCGCCACATCCCAGAAGACGGCATTCTTCCGTTTACATTTGTTTCAGGAAACACCTGACTGTTCCATAAAAACGATAAACTTTTCACGTGTCATTGCAAATTAAGTAATACTTCTATGTTTATTTTCGTTTTATTTGAATCAGTTTTGTCACTTTGCACATGCCCTTTCACTTCAAATTGCAGTTATTTAGCGAATATTTGCTGAATTATTTTGCTTATATAGTGTTTGTGTTAGCATTTTAAACTATCATTCCGAACGTGCGTAAGTTTAGGAATGTCTGTGGTGGGATCACCCTGTGTTTATTCACGTGGAGATGGTGTTCTTTTATTTTAGGTAAGCGAACGGAATCCGCTGTTCAAATGTAATGATGATAATTCTCACACCGGCACGCAGTCTGTAGGCCTACAGTGATGCTGGAAGAGAGGATGCACGATCGATAAACTTCCGTGCCATGCGGTATAATGCTCCATAGCACAGAAACTGAAAGAAATAAGTAAATTGGAGCTATACATCACAGTACCATCAACTTCGATTCCATTTCTGTAGTTTAAATTAAATGATTTTCCTGCTAAATCCATCCAAAAGAACAAAGCGGCCGTTGTTTTTTTACTTCTCTCGAGAGGAAACAGGATTATATATAAAAGTTCTTAGTCTTAGTGTTCGAAAGCTTACGATATGGCTTCTTGTAGCGCAGTTTAACTTCTAATATTTCGCCACTGAGGGCAAAAATGCCCCTACCTTAGCTTTTAGTCATTCTGTGAAGGAAGCATAACATAAGAGAACAAAGTTCTGACTTCTAATGCTACACAGTGGAAATGAATATGAATAAGGCATTCGGGGATTCAAACACAAAAATATTTTACATCATACAGGCTTTTATACATTATATCATTGTCGGTGTAATGATGAGGGACGGGCTGGGCGGCTTGGGTTCGCTTCCCGGCAGTATAAGTTTTTACTCTTCTCCACAGCGTCCAGACCGGTTCTGGGGCCCACCCAGCCTTCTATCCAACAGGTACCGGGAGCTTTTTCACTGGGGTAAAGCGCCAGGCACCCGAAGCTTGCCCCTCACCACCATCTAGTGTCGAGGTCCACGCCCCGCGTATGTCTTCATGGCATAGCTCTTAACCAATTAAGCTGAGGGACAACTTTAACTTTACCGTTAAAAGTATAGAGAGACGGTCTGAATGTTTATGTTGTTATTATCATTTATAGTTTGAATTAAATAACAGAAACTCCTAGACTGTCGGTCTGAAAAATTATCTCACCTCTTCTTTTCGTTGTGTATCTCTATTTTTTGTTTAATTGACAGTGATTTCAATGCATCATGTAACCCAGTGTCGAATGATACGAGAATCAGTGAATAATGAATTGGAGAGGATGTGGTAGGTAACTCTGTGTCGGATTTCGGGCCGAGATTTGAATCAGGACTTCCCAGATATAAAGTGCTATGGCGAGGGCACACCAAGGAAACTGGCAAAAGCAACCGCGATTTCCGAGAATTGTTATCAGTCTGAGTTGAACACAACTCAAATAAAAGTTTCTTCCCTTAACCACAACTAAAAGGATTCCTGTAGCAGAAGAGTTACTTTCCATTTCTATTCTGGATGCAAAGTAAGTAAGTAAAGCTATCCCTGTAACAGGCCGTGGAGGCCCATAGGGTTGTGAGACGTTGAGGCTCCCACATTTTCTAGACAATCGGCTCATAGATGGCGGTGAGGTTGTCAGCCTTACGAGCCGGCCGCCCTTTAGTCCCAGGAATATTCCTGGTACTCATTTCTGTTAGGGGCTGAGTCGACCCCAGGGTTATGTGGAAGGATTAGGTAAATTGAAAAAATCCCATCACCTCATCAGGATTCGAACCCGCGACCTTGCGACTTGTAACATAGTGCCTCAACCAACTACGCTACCGCGTACAGACATGACATTTCGTGGAAGATATTTAAGAGACGAAGTGCTTTGGTAAAATATTCAGTGCGTTAGCAATAAATCTAAACATGAAAATGCAATAACACGTGTATAAATTCAGGACTGCACAAAGTTATCAGTAGTTTAAAAGACAAGAACAGCAGAGAAAAATACAATTTGAATGTTGACTATAAACAAATAGCTGTATTGCACCCGAAGTCGTGATATTTGTGCAGGGGCCGACAAAATTATTTAATAATTTTCCTTTTAGATCCAGCTTGAGGCTTTACACGTTCATTATTGCCTTAAGATTTTTTCTGATATGGACTATGCTCTTTCATTAAGATTTTGTTAACAGAATGAGTGTTGCTGCTTTTCCTGACATCTTTATTGTTATACTGTCTCACACAGGTCTGCATTTTAATTAAGTATATACTGGATTTATAAAGATGTTCAGGAACATACAGCCATCGATGCTAAGCGACTCTGACCATATATATATATAAACAAATACACTTGGTCGTCGACTTAGGACCTATACCACTTACGACCGGCCGCACTTAAGACAAAAAAAAAAGATGATTAAAATGTTAAAGTTTTTAAAAATAAATTACAAGGATGATAAAAAGATTAGAAAGGTTAAAAAATAGTGTTAATAAATATATGGCCGACATACGACCAGATCGACTTACGACCTGTCAGTCAGAATGGAAGTCGGTGGAAAGTCGACGACCAAGTGTACATATACTGAACGTCAATTAAATATAGCTGAATTAAACTAAAGACAATTAAGGAATGTTTCGCTATCTAATAAATTTTTGTCGGTATAATTATGAATAGAATATGAAAGAAAGGTTATAGCAGTATAGTCGACTCGGCTATGTAAGAAATTTTGATCCCACAAAATACATTTTTGTCACCACATACTTACAATAATAGTTTACTACACAGCGAATCAAGCCAAAATAATCACACACCAAAAGTGTGACTGATAATTGCCGAGCATTTATTAAAATAAGTGGACGAATCATGAATCCAGATGGCGAAACATGTACATGCTCAAGGCTCCATTTTACATTAAACATTAGACGATGAAGCTACTGCACTCTGCTTCCTTTTTTTCTCTTGGCATTACAGCCCCAGTGGGCTTAGGCCTACCTCCATGAACTTCTCCGTTCATTTCGGTTTTTCTGGATCTTACACATTCGGTAGGACTCCTTGGGCGGGTGATCAGCTCGTCGCAAGGCCTCTACCTGTACACAAATACAGAAAAACGCATACACACAAACTAAACATCCATGCCCTGAGTGGAATTAGAATCCACGACCCCGGTTTCCAAGCGAGCGAAGACAGTACATGCCACTCTGCTCCTTTACTTGAGCATATTTTTTGCTGATCTGTGAGTAATTTTTTTTAATACGCGAATTCTAATGGTGGAAATATCTGCTTTAAATTTAAGTTGACAAAGAATCAAAATGGTTGCTTCATATTCAAACTACGAGTGGCGATTCATAAATTGATGACAAAATGTCAGTTGAATTGAAAGGGCTATAAAAATGGGCTGTCAAGATGACGGATTTGCATAACATTTGGGAGATAAGAATATATGTGAAAAAAACCCTTAATGATAACGAAGTATACTTTTGTAGATTCAGTATTTCTGTAAGAGAAACGGTGCAGAACATACGAAACAGAGGCGCATGTGGTGGAAATTAAAAGGAATGTTTCCATATGGAAACTGACTATGGGATATTGTTCATTTCGTGTTATACACAAGTTTGACGTGTATGTGGTTAAATGGCTGTAATCTGCTTCAAAATATAGCGTATGATAAGCAGCGGGTAACAGCTGACGTGGCATAGTCCCCCAGCTTGTAGGTTTGTAGGGAGACTAATAATATCTCACCTAAAAATATTAGCATATTA